AAGACCAGCAACGTACTGTGCGTAGGTGGCACGGATCGTGTTTTGCTTCCTCAAGGATCGGTGACGTGGGCATAGTCAAAACAAGATACCGAGCGAATTGGGTGCGAGAAAAAGCGTGCGTCCAGCAATCACGTCCACCTGCTCTTTCCATGGGATTCTCAGGTCGTTTTCGTTGTAGTACAGTACATTGATAGCGTAGTACGGTGGATAAATTTCCTCCCGTCCAGCGAGAAGCGCTGTCGATGCGAGGAGGGCAGCTTGGAGCCCTTGACGACGCCGGGGTAAACGGCTCTGATCCAGTGACGTCGGCAGTAGAGGGTGGCGCCGACCTTTTCCAACCTCTATCGTTCGATACCTGTCGGGTCTGATATTTTTGTGGAGAAATATATATATATATATATTATGAAGTCAAAGCCTCTTTCTATACATACCCTGTATATTTGAATATTTAGTGTATCATACAATCGGCAGCTGGGCGATCAGACAAGCCAGCAGCTGGATCTCGACCTTGCACCCTCATCCACGCGCTTCCGATGTAGGCCGTCAGTCTTGAAAGTGCAGTTCAAATGGCGCCGTCGTGGTGTCGGATTTTCCTCGTTCAAGTCGGTTTTACCGTCCTCGTCTTCGGCTCGATTGTTGGCTTGTACGCTGCGCAGTTTACGCCCGACACGATCGTGCTCGAGTCATCCCCCGCGTCGTCCTGCTATGCGCTCAGCATGACCCACGCCGACGCCTCCCGCGACGCCTACGACCTTTGCGACGCGAGCCTGCTCTTGCAGCAGCAGCACGTCCGCCTCCGCGAGCGCGACACCATTCGCTCGATGGCGCTGCGCATCCCCAAGCAGCGCTGCTTTGTGCTGCTGTACGTCCAGGCGCGGCCCCTGTTTCGCAATCCAACCGCGTACATCTACCTCAATGCGTCGACGATGGGCGCAGCGATGGCGCGCAAGCACGGCGACTTGATGCCGTATGAGAATTGCACGCTCGCCAACAGCTTGGACAAGCGCTTTGGCATTCGGTCGACCGCGCACGACCTTGTCGTGACGATCGACGCCAGCTTTTGGACGTCGAATGGCACGCGCGTCGACGCCTTGTCGTTTGATACTAGTACCTCGTCCGAGTAGTCAGTCGTCTCGAGTCCATTTTTATTCGCTAAGTTATTCCAGTCCTAGTGTTGTTGTGGTGCGTTCCGTCCACGGCTCGCATGAACGAATAGCAATGGTGCTTCCCGTCACATTTAGCAAGCAAAGCCGCTTCACCGCTACAGACGAGACACGACGACACGTTGACTCCCTAGCTGTGACCACGGAGCTTGAACAAGTCGCATTCCAGCGACGGGCGAAAGCAGAGGCATGCAATCGACGAGGAGGCACGAGGCAACGGGGGTGCAGTACCAACACCGTCGGTGAACTTGACGAGGCAACACGATTCAAGTGTGCGTTGATGTGGACTATAAAGGGCACTGTACATGTAAAAGGCACCAGCTTCGTTCGAGACACGGGCAGAGACGTCGGCAGAGAAGTCGACGCGTAGAGTAGAAATGCATACATGCCCCAACGCAACGACAAGATCTTGACCACAGAAATGTCCTCTGGAAGTGGTACTAGTAGTACTGTGTAGCGATGGATGACGTGGCAGCGGCGACGAGACCCGCACAAATATCAGAGGGCCAAACCGTGCGGTCGTTGCCAGGCTGGCTGGCTGCTGTTGAATGCGACTGCGTGTGCAGGTGCCAACTTCCGCCCACCTTGCGATCACAGCCTCGAACAGCTCTACTAGCATCGACGATCGTCATGTCATCTCCTTGGCGTTATGCGCGTCAGGTTCACTAGCACGACTTTTCTACGTTGGCTCGTCACAGATGAAATGAGTCATATTCGCCTCTGTTCTCGCATCAGTCGAACCGGAATTAAGCTTAGCTGAGGGTCTTGCATGCGGCGTGAGAACGTCATTCTGAGATGCTGAGATGGCCGGCCGTAGCATACTACGCATCGATTGGGTGATCTCCATCGAGAACCAGCCAATGAACAAGCAGACACGTCATGCATTATAACCAATGCGCGCATCGTATTTCTCCACCGCTGCCACGAGGCCTTGCCACGTTCCTGGAAGCATTCCACGCGAGCGAAGATTCTGCTAAAACAGATTATGCATTGATTGCAAGACTGCAGAACTACTGACTTACGGCACTTGCATTGTAGTACGCTGGACGAATTGGTCGGGTTACAAGATGACCAACGTTGCTTGATGCGTTGGCTTACTCGACCACCGCTACCTCGTCAACGCCGCGGCATTCCGCTAAGCAAGAGAAGCAAGAATGCCCTTATCGGTCCGCTTGGGTGTCGTGATGTTGAAGCTGTTGACTCGACCGCTTCAACAACGTGCTTCAACACGGCAGCGACGGTAGAGGTACCATGGTAGAAGACGTTGCTTGCACAATCGGATGTGGGGTTTGCAGTCGGTGCACTGTGAACCCTCTCAGACCCGTCAGTGTAACAACATGAAGCGTGAAGCGAGCGTAGTGACTAGCGTGGAGATGCTAGAATTTGTAAGCAATTAAGCAATGTCGCCCGAAGCGACCGTCACGCTCGATGAAGGTGCGTAGGCAGGCGTTCGAATGTGCTTTGATTGGCAGTCGCCACTCGTCCCTTGCAGCATCTCGCCGGACGCAAAAATGAGCCGGCGGTGAAAAGACATGTTACTGGGACGCTGCTTCATGGCCCGTCTAGCACGGCTGCTGCCCACACTCATGGGTGCACAACCACCGTGTATGAGCGCTGTCATCCAAATGCAGCGTTGCCGAAATGACATTTCTGCATGCAAATCTTGATCCAATGACACGCCTTGTGGTCCTGCCACGTCGGCACCACCATACGGATGACGTCAAGCTCGCGCACCTCAAGTTCGCGTCGAAACGAGGTCAGAGCTTCTACGGCAACTCAAGTCCTTTGTTAGTATACGTGCTCGTGTCGCGTGTCCTTACACTAGACTGTACTGTAGTCGGGTCCCTTTTGTTTGTACAGACATATGCTTGCATGTGCCAAGTCTACTTCCGCACGCACTGTATGCAGTGGGCGACGCGTCACGATATTGTCCCACCATGTAGCCAATGAACGTGCCTCATTTACTTGAGCGCCCTTCAGGTTCGCGCACTTGGAGCTTATCAGGCGGCAACAGCCGTCTTTATAGAACCCGTTTGGAACTGTGTTGGGCGCTGCAGTAACCTGCGGAAGCCCGCTCGTCCATGCACTTGAAGCGCGCATTTCGTCTCTCACCGCAGCATGCGCTTGCGGCTGGCCATATCCATGGCCGCTGCCATCGTCGCGGTAGCCCATGGCGGCGGCTGCGAACAGCGGCGCTGCTGGACGCCGGCAACGCCGTGCCTCGACGGCGCTCGTGGGTGCGTGGCGCGGCAGCAGGACGGACACTGCCCGACGCAGACCACGCTGTGCACGGCTGCCGTTCTTGACACGCCCGTCGAGTCGGTG